GGATCGCCGCCGGAAGCAGGCGGCTCACCTGCGCATTGGGATCAGGCGGTTAGGGTTTGGCTGTGCCGCGTGCGAGGGGGGCGGATCTTTGGCAGAGCTCCACCCTCCGCCTCAACCCTAGCTGCCACTCCGGCTGCAGGCTGCAGCGTGCTCCGAGGCGTGAGGCGACGCAGGAGGCGAATCGATTGAAATCAGACTGCGACACAAAAGGCATGATTTAGGGAAATGTTTGTGGCCGGGGACCGGCCACGCGTCGCGCGTCGGTCCCGTGCGCGGCGTTCGATTCGCCCCCATCCAACGTCTCCTGTCGCGCCACGTCGCACATGCTGGTGGGCCCACGGCCCGCTCGCCCCATTTTATCTCCGTCCTAAGCATGGAGCAAATTGATAAAATGACACATCTTTCCTGGGAGTTTGATCCAGTGACACATTTTTCTTTTTGTTTGATTAGATGACACATCTTTGATTGACAACTTGATGAAATGGCACAAATAGAGTTTTTCACGTATGGGACTGTAGTACATAATTTTTAGGACGGTTCTGCCCTCGCATCGATTCACCCGTTACCTGGTTCGATCAACATGTTTCTAGTCGAACGGAACGACGCACGGGAGCCCGACCTGGATCAGTACATGCATGGACACGTAATATGGAACTAGGCGATCCTCCATGCAAACAAGAGCATTTGTCAATTGGAAAAAAATACGATGCCTCCTCTCCGGCGTCGCTGCCTCGCCGTGCTTACTTCTCGGCGCTGTTGCTTGCTAGCTCTATAGTTGTTCGTTGTTGTTTCAGTATGGGATGACACCTGTGAGTTTGTCGATGAGCACGCTGACGGCGACGGCGACCGTGGCGGAAGAAATGGATCCTCGCGGGCAGAGAGGAAGCAGGACAAGAGGCGGCGGGGAGACGTGGACTTGGCAGCACGTCGAGGAATATGCACATGGATGCAAGCGCTGGGGACCTGGCGGCGCGGGGTAGGAACCGGCGTGGCGGCGGCCCATCGCTTCCTCTTCATGTGCATCGCCTTGTCTCAGTTGTCTGGCCTTCTCTACGTTGTTTCATAGGATCGATCAAACCAGTCAGGCAGGTGAATCGGTGCAAGGGCAGAACCGTCCTAGAAAATATGAAGCACAGGCCCATCCGTGAAAAAGGAGATAAACACTCTATTTCTGCCACTTCATCAAGCTATCAATCAAAGATGTGTCATCTAATCAAACAAAAAGAAAAGTGGATCAAACTCCCAGTAAAGATGTGTCATTTTATCAATTTGCTCCCTAGCATGGCAGCATCATCCAATCATTTTTCTTTTCATTTTTCCCATCCTCTCCACGCGACTGCCATGGACAGCTCGCCCAAGCTCGCGCTCCTCCCCTCTCTTTCCAGATCTCTCCTGTTCGTCGCCGGCTGCTGCCTGACCGCCTAGTCTGTACACCCACCACACACCGCTAACAACGCCATCATCGTGGCCTATAACCTAGATGCGGGAGTCAAAGGACTTCATCGACAATGTCAACATCTCCATTGCACCGACGTGTTCATCGAGGGGTACAATATCGATGCCTGCACCTTGGTAGTGATTTTGATTGGATTGTGCGTAGTAAAGAATTTGTTTTGTGGCATTTCTCTATATTTCAAGGGGTCGCTACTGCAAGTTTTCAAGAGGATTCACAGCTTGCAAATTTTTCAAGGGGGCACTACTACAAGTTTCCACCAGGATTGCAACTGCAAGTTTTCAAGAGGATTCACAACTTGCGTGAGTCCTTGTGGTCTCGAACATCGATAAGGTAATATGACCCGCTGTTCAGATTCTTGCTGACCACAAAAGGTCCTTCCCAAGGTGGGGATAACTTGTGCATATCCGTTTGATCCTGCATAAGCCGGAGCACTAGATCGCCTTCTTGAAAAGTTCTGGTTTTAACCCGACGGTTGTGATAACGGCGCAGATTTTGCTGGTAAATCGCCGAACGAGCCGATGCGATGTCACGCTCCTCATCCAACAGGTCAAGTGCTTCTTGACGTGCTCTTTCATTGTCACCTTCAACATAAGCCGCCACACGAGGTGAGTCATGACGGATGTCACTAGGGAGAACTGCCTCTTCTCCGTAAACCATGAAGAAGGGTGTGTATCCCATAGATCTATTTGGGGTGGTATTGATGCTTCATAACACGAAAGGCAGCTCCTCCACCCAACAACCCGGCGTCCTCTGCAAAGGAACCATAAGTCGGGGCTTGATGCCTTTCAAGATCTCTTGGTTTGCTCTCTCAGCTTGACCATTGGATTGAGGGTGAGCCACGACGATACATCAAGCCGGATATGCTCACATTGACAAAATTATTCTATGGCACCCTTAGAGAGGTTAGTGCCATTGTCTGTTATAATGCCGTGTGGAAAGCCAAAACGGAAGATCACTTTCTTCATGAATTGAACCGCTGTTGCTGCATCACACTTACTGACCGGCTCTGCCTCTACCCACTTAGTGAACTTATCAACCGCCACCAAAAGGTGGGTCTTCTTGTCCTTGGATCTTTTGAAAGGTCCAACCATATCAAGCCCCCAAACTACAAATGGCCAAGTAATTGGAATCACCCTCAATTCTTGAGCCGGCACATGGGCTCGTCGTGCAAATTTCTGACATCCATCACACCTGCTGACGAGGTCCTCTGCATCAGCATGGGCTGTTAACCAATAAAACCCATGACGAAAAGCTTTAGCCACAAGGGATTTTGAGCCAGCATGATGACCACAATCTCCTTCATGAATCTCTCATAAGATCTCACAGCCCTCTTCTGAAGAGACACAACGTTGAAACGCCCCTATGACACTGCGATGATGTAACTCTCCATTAACAATTGTCATTGACTTAGATCGTCGGGTTATCTGCCTGGCTAAGGTTTCATCCTCAGGTAACTCCCCCCGGGTCATATAAGCCAAATAAGGAACTTTCCAATCTGGGATTACATGAAGAGCGGCCACCAACTGAGCTTCCGGGTCAGGAATAGCCAAATCCTCCTCCGTAGGTAACTTGACCGACGGGTTATGCAAAACATCAAGGAAAACATTAGGCGGCACCGGTTTACATTGAGAACCCAACCGGCTTAAAGCATCTGCCGCTTCATTTTTCCTCCGATCAAAGTGCTCAACTTGATAACCCTTGAAGTGACCAACAATAACATCCACCTCTCGCCGATAAGCCGCCATGAGTGGATCCTTAGAATCCCAAGTACCAGAGACTTGCTGAGCTACCAAGTCTGAGTCGCCGAAGCACCTAACCCGGCTTAAGTTCATCTCCTTAGCCATCCTAAGACCATGGAGCAAGGCCTCATACTCTGCTGCATTGTTAGTGCAAGGAAACATTAAACGGAGAACATAACAAAATTTATCACCTCGGCGGGAAGCTAGGATAACTCCAGCCCCTGAGCCCTCCAACTGCCTGGACCCATCAAAGTGAATAGTCCAATACGTGTTATCTGACTTTTCCTCAGGCACTTGCAGCTCTGTCCAATCATTGATGAAGTCCACCAGTGCCTGAGACTTGATGGTCGTGCGAGGCACATATTTTAACCCATGAGGCCCAATCTCAATAGCCCACTTAGCAACCCGGCCAGTTGCTTCTCTGTTTTGGATGATATCTCCCAAAGGATCAGAGCTGACCACGGTGATCGGATGACCCAGAAAATAATGCTTAAACTTTCGGCTGGCCAAGAACACCCCATATACAAGCTTCTGCCAGTGCGGATATCTATGCTTGGACTCAATAAGCACCTCACTGGTAATAGTAAACCGGCCTTTGAAGCGGATATTCCTTGCCTGCTTCCTTTCTTTCTACCACAATAGCAACACTGACAGCCCGGCTATTAGCAACCACATATAACAACAAAGGCTCCTTATCAACAGGGGCTGCAAGCACGGGCGGCTCAGCCAGCTGCTTCTTCAAATCCTCAAACGATGTATTAGCAACATCACTCTAGACAAAGTTATCTGTCTTTTTCATCATCTGATATAGAGGGATAACCTTCTCTCTCAACCGGTTTATGAACCGGCTCAACGCCGCAATATGACCCGCCAGCCGTTTGATACGTCCATTTTGCATCATGCTTTTATATCGACATTTATTGCATTATGGGATGTTATTACACATTATGTCACAATACTTATGCCTATTCTCTCTTATTTTACAAGGTTTACATGAAGAGGGAGAATGCCGACAGCTGGGATTCTGGGCTGGAAAAGGAGCAAATATTATAGACCTATTATGCACAGCTCCAAAAGTCCTGAAACTTCACGGAAGTTATTTCTAGAATATATAAAAAATATTGAGCGAAGAAAGTTCTAGAGGGGGCCCACACCCTGGCCACGAGGGTGGGGGCGCGCCCTACCCCCCTGGGTGCGCTTCCTGCCTCATGGGCCCTGTCGTGGATATGGGACACGGGTATCCTCATGGAGGTAGGCCGCGGCCCATCACAGGAGGTGGCCCAGCAGGCCGACTTAAATAGTTTGAATAAGACCTGGATTGCTATCCTTCTTGTAATAGAAAAGAGACTAGTCCTAATCCAACTAGGACTAGTCATGTAACCCGCCCCTCCAACATATATAAGGAGGGGCAGGGCTCCCCAAAAGGGGACAAGATTCACAAGTTCTATAAGTTGGACAAGTTAGGTTTAGACAATAGCTCTCGAGATAGAACAGTCTTGTAACCGTGATCATCATCATCAATATCAATGAAGCAGGATGTAGGCTTTTACCTCCACCGTGAGGGGCCGAACCTGGGTAAAAACATCGCGTCACTCGCCCCGCTCGACCCCTCTCAAGCTACCACATAGATGCGTTGGCCTCGCGACTAAGTCCTGACACTAAGGACATCTGCCGTGACAAAACCACGACAGTTGGCGCCCACCATGGGGCCAACTGTCGTGGTTTTGTCACGACAGATGTCCTAGAGAAAGGACTTAGTCGTGGAGCCATCGCGACGGGTTAGCTTGAAGGGGTTAAAGCGGACACAGGGATGCAAGAGAGTTTATACTAGTTCGGCCCCT